TTTGTGTTTTTTGTGCTATTTCTTGTCGGTTTCTTCTTAGTTTTCATGTTCTGCTTGGAAGTTGATTTCATGGTAAGTTGTGAAGTATTAACTTTCTTTGGGGTTACCTTATAGTCTATTAACTTTTCCCTCCATTAAAGACAGTCTATTGTATCCGCTAATCTACCCGACCTCCTCACCACCTGGATCTCTGTTCCTGCATTTTTCCCTTTTTTGACATTGATACTATTTTGATCTTTGGTTGACCTCCCAGCTCCTTTGAATTCGTTGTAGTTTTGTTCTGTTCTGGACTCTGCTATCCGTTATCTGAGTTTCAGGTGGTGTTTCCACCCTTGTCAATCTCTGGTTGTTGTCTGTTCTTGTTGGTTTTCAGTCCAAAGAACTCCCTTTAGAATGTTTTGAAGTGCTGGATTGGCTTTGACAAAATCTCTTAGCTTCTGTTTATCCTGGAATATTTTGATTGCCCCATCATATTTGATTGACAGTTTTGCTGGATAGACGATTCTTAGTTGGCAGGTTTTTTTTCTTTTAGGGTTTTGTATATGTCTCTTCATTGCCTCCTTGCCTGCATGGTTTCTGCTGAGAAGTCAGAGCTTAATCTGATTTGCTTGCCTTTGTAAGTAACACTTCTCTTTTTCCTGGCCGCTTTTAGGATTCTCTCCTTGTCTTTGATTTTGGAGAGCTTGATTATTATATATCTTGGTGAGTTTTGCATGTAATGCTTAGCAGATGTTATTGGCGCTTGTCTCAATGGTGGAATATTATGGGGAGTGCTTGTAGCTTGGCTCTGTGGCCACAATTGCTGTCTCTTCTTGGGTAACATAGGGAGAAAAAGCTCCAACCTCCAGGGAAAATGTGTGATAAAAAGGACCAAAAACAGAAGTAATATAAAAGCAGAGACAAAAACCACCACTTTGAAACAAAAATAAAACTGTGGCCTACTGGCCAGTCGCCTTGCTACACAGACAGTGTGTATGGACCATAGAGGCCTCCAGAAGTGGGTGGGGGTGTCCGCTCGCTCAGGCTCCTCTAGTCACCACCATAAAGGTGCACAAATAGATATTGAGAGGTTAATGGGAGAAAGATTGTCTATGATTTTTGTCTCTGTAGGTCATAGCGTAATTCTCGAAATAGTTGAGTCCATTGACTAATAGTTTACATAAACCACAGCCTCATCTACCTTGAGACCAGGACTGACTCTTCTAATCAGGGTCACAAGAGATCGATACTGATAAAATGGGAGAAAAATGTATTCAGCTCCCAGGCTAAAAAGAACTTCAAATTCTTTTTTAAAAAAATTCTAGACTTAACTGGACCAGTTGAGACTAGTTATTGTTGTTGTTGTTAGGTGCCATCGAGTCTGTACCAACTCATAACGACCCTATGCACAACAGAACGAAATACTGCTCGGTTCTGGACTAACCTCACAATTGTTGCCACACTTGAGTCCATTGTTGCTGCCACTTTGCCAGTCCATGAGGGGCTCATCTTCTGGCACTATATCTGACAGTGTTTCTCTGTTTTTCATAAGGTTTTCAGTGACTAAATATTTGGAAGGAGTTCGTCTCTCCTTCTTCCTAGTCTGTTTTCCTCTGGAAGCTCATCTGAAACCTGTCCACCATGGGTGACCCTGCTGGTATTTAAAATACCCATGGCATAGCTTCCAGAATCACAGCAACTCACAAGCCACCATAATATGGCAAATTGACAGACGAGTTGAGACTAGAGAACTCCTCAATACTACCGTCATGAGATATTCTTTAAACCTCCAACCACACTATCTCCTGAGGTAACCTAAATAACATATTGGCTCTCAAAATAAATAACAGTACCTTTGACTACTGTGCTCCTTAAAAAAAAAAAAAAAAATCACCTATATGAGACCAAATGGCCAACAATTACTTTAAAAACAAAGATGAGAAATGATTAATGGAAATGGAACAACCAGAACAGAAATTATGAATGTTCACACATTATGGAGAATGTAACCAGTGTCACTGAATAACTTGTGTAGAAACTGATGAAAGAGAGATACTTTCACCCAAAACACAATAAAATACTTTTTCAACTAAATATATATGTATATATATGGAGGCCTGGTGTGGCACTGTAGGATCAGCACTGGACTGTAATGCAGTTCAAACTCCCCAGCCACTCCTTGGAAACTCTATACAGGGTCACTATGAGTTGGAACCGACTTGATGGCACTTAAAATACACACACAACACACACATAAAAGGGAGCTTCAAGAGTTTGAGGAAAAATTCCACTATCTTCATTCCATTTCCCAAGAACTTTTTGAAGCCCTCAGTTACACCCCAGACCAAGAAAGAAAAGGTGGCATCAGTCTGTGTTCATGGTCCAGGTACAGCCATGTTTGCAAAACACTGCTCCAAACTCATTCCTCCTCCAGAAAACATATTGGATTAGAAGTGAGAGACTTCGAATCTGATGAAATTTATTTAGCAACTTCAGCCTTTAATAATAGTCACTGTGGCACATTCCACAGACAACAAGGTACCCCATTGTGTGCTGGGAATTGAGTTAAAGGAATCCGGTGACAAGAAATGTTTGCAAAGCGAAGACTCCCTAGTTGTTAACTGCCAGTCTTTAAATTATCAGTCCAGTGCTTATCCTACAGTGCCACACCAGGCCTCCCTTGCTGTTATTAAGTGCTGTCATGTCAGTTTTGACTCATACCAACCATGTATAAGGTTTCCAAGGAACGGCTGGTGGATTTGAACCGCCGACCTTGCAGTGCAAACTAACTAACCTTGGGGTCGAGTGCTTATCCTACAGCACCACACTCCCTTAGGAAAGGGAACAATGTCCCCCAACTGATTTGTCCCTGAGTGCCTCTTGGAACTTTCTGGGATGACTGACCACGTGGTCATTGGCTCCTCTCCCCCACAGCCACACTGATGGAGTATCTGTACCTGGCCCTCAGGCCTATCTGCAGCATGCCGCTGGTGCTCACCCGGAGTGAGGTAAGTCTGCTGGGGGAGACCCTGAGCCCTGGAACCTTCTATACACCGCCTCCACCCTTCACCCATTCAAGGCCGAAGCTCAATGCTTGTTCAGTGGGCTCAAGCAGGGTCATTCTAGCCTCTGGGCTTTTTTGCTTCGATTGCACCCTCTGGATCTGCAATGAGACCCATCCCTCCTCACCACTATTTAAATGATTTCATTCATTCCCAGACAGACTTCAGTTTCCCAAAGGCAGATTTCATGATCACTTTTTTGAACACCACCATTTAAAACCAACTCTCAATACACACCCCCACTAGGTGTGCCCCTTGTTGCCCCGCCTCTCCCCTCAGGTGCACAGCGTGGCCGTGACGCACACCTTCCAGATCGCCAAAGCCCGCGCTCAGCTTGGCTACACTCCGGACAAGTTCAACTTCGCCGAGGTCGTGGAGCATTACGTGCAGTCCACGTCCGAACGGCCCAGCGGCTGCACGGTGTGGACTCTCCTGCGGCTGCTGCTCTTCCTTAGTCTGCTCGCCTTGGCTCTGCACCTCCTGGAACTGCAGCCCCTGGCGGCTGCCGATGAACGATGAACGCCTCTGACCGGGGGCCGCCGTCAGCCTCGGCCTACGGGATTCTCTCAGGACCTCACCTTCCGGGTGTGAACTCGGCCTCTCTGGCCCTGCCCGGGGCCCTGCTCCACCCCTGGACACACTGGCTCCGCCCCTGCGCTGGGCCAGGCTCCACCCTTAGACACTGGCTCCACCCATGCCCTGGGCCCTGCTCCACCCCTGGACACTGGCTCCGCCCCTGCCCTGGGCCCTGCACCACCCCTGGAAGACATTCGATTATGTGGCCCCTGTGAACTAATGTGTCAGACTACAAAGTCGTTTGAACAGCAAGGTCGGTGGTTCAAGCTCACCCTCTGCTCCTTGGAAACCCTACACAGGGTCGCTGTGGGTTGGAATCAACTCGATGTCACTTCACAACAATAACAACAAACTATGGATAACATTGTGAAGAATGGAAATTCCAGAACACTTTATTTGTCTCATGGGGAACCTGTACACAGACCAAGAAAGAGGCAGCCATTCAAACAGAACAAGGGGGCACTAAATGTCCTAAAATAAGGAAAGGTGTGCGCCAGGGTTGTATCCTTTCATCATACTCATTCAATCTGTATGCTTAGCAAATAACCCGAGAAACTGGATTATATGAAAAAAATGTGACATTAAGATCCAAGGAAGACTCATTAACAATCTGAGATATGTTGATTATATAACATTGCTTGCTGGAAGACAAGAACTTAAAATACTTAACTGATGAAGATCAAAGACCTCAGCCTTCAGTATAGATTGCACCTCAATTTAGGGAAAACAAAAATCCTCCCAACTGGACCAATAAAATCATGATAAACGGAGAAAAGAAGTTGTCTAAACTTCATTTTGCTTGGATCTACAATCCATGCTCATGGAAGCAGAAGTCAAGATATCAAATGATGTATTGCATTAGGCAAACCTGCTGCAAAAGACCTCTTTAGAGTATTCAAGAACCTTAATGGGAAGAGAAGGGCTAAGAGATGGCAGCCTGGAGGCAGACTTGCAGAATGTGCCCTTTGATGGTGTAAATTATTACATATGCCTGAGTGTTTAGAAAAGAGAGAGCTAAAGTGGATAGAGAGAAATATTGTTAACTGATGGTACATAGAAGGTATTATAATCATTGTAATGAAACAAGGTGTATGATTTGTTGAATGTAAAACTGATGATCTGCCCTGTAAACTTTCACTCAATCCACAGTAAAAACCTTAAAAAAAAAAAAAAAGAAAGAACCTTCCACTAAGGGCAGAGCACACTAGCCCTTGGGAGGGGATTGAACAGGAGTCTGAAGAACTACACATGCTTGACATCCTGCAATAAGTTTGGTCTGTCCTTATCAGAGGACTTCAAGATGGAACCCATCTTGAAGAAATGCGATGCACACTCCAAAGAGCATGGCCCCTCATAAACAGGCCACTGCCTGGAAATCCCTGCCTACCTCTATGATTAAACGGGATGCCTTTTCTTACGTTAAAAAAAAGAAAGAGAGAAATGTTCAAAAGCCAAGTTAGCAGTTTGAGGGCTGAGGTGCTCCTTCCTTACCCAATCCATGATGTTTTCAGTCACCCCATATGCATGTGAAATTTGGACAGTGGATAAGAAAGACCATAGAAATATCAATACATTTGAATGATGACGTTGAATAATATTTAAAGTACCAAACAAATCTATCTTGGAAGAAGTACAGCCAAAATGCTCCTTTGAAGCAAAGAAGGTGAGAATTATAGTCTTGTACTTTGGACATGTTGCCAGGAGAGACCAGTCCCTGCAGAAGGACGTCGTACTTGGTAAAGTGGAGGGTCAGCGAAAAAGAGGAGCATCCCCTTATGAGATGGATTAACACAGCTACAGAGGCAATGGGTTCAGATGCAACAATTGTGAAGCTGGTGCAAGAGCTGGCAGTATTTCATTCTGTTGTACATACGGTTGCTGTGAGTCCGAATTGACTTGATGGCACCTAAGAACAACAAAAACACACCACCCTTTGTGGGAACAGACCTGCAGCTCTTTCTTCTGTGGTGACACGGGATGTGCTTGAATGGGCAGTTTTTAAGTTAGTAGTTGAGTAAAAACCATTTTGTGTCACCCACAGGAGAATCAAAAAAGTAAAAAGGAAACGAAAATCCTTACCGATTGGACATTTTCAAAAAGCATCAATATAGCTATAGTGGTACTGTGTGTTAATGCGCTGGACTCAAAAGTCATTTGAACCACAAGGTTGGTGGTTCAAGCTCACCATTTGCTCCTTGGAACTCCTATACATGGTCGCTACGGGTCGGAACTGACTCGACAGCACTTAACAACAATAAAAATAGCTATAATGGGGCGGGGGGAGCTGAACTCTGGGGTCATATTTTGTGGTTTAGTATTGCTTCATTTTTTTTTAAGGAGGGGCAGTGATAACACCATCCTGTGTTTTAATGCAGAGGACTGCAGTTTCTTAACCCAGCCCTGCTGTCCACACAAACAGCGTCTTCCTCTCATGTTGATGTGGTTGTTGTTGTTAAGTGCCATCGAGTCGATTCCTACCCATAGCGACCCTATGTAGGGTTTCCAAGGAGCAGCTGGTAAGCTTGAACCAACAACCTTGCAGTTCAAACAACTTTGCAGTCTGACGCATTAGCCCACATGTGGTGGTGGTGGTGTTGTTGTTAAGTGCCATCGAGTCGGTTCTGACCCATAGCAACTCTGTACAGGGTTTCCAAGGGTGTAAATCTTTACGGGAGTAGAAAGCTTCATCTTTCTCCTGCGGAGCGGCTGGTAGTTTCGAACCGCTGACCTTAAGGTTCACAACCTGATTCGTAACCACTACGCTATGTGGTATTGGGTACTAAAATACCACTGTGTAAAATACACCCACATACATACAACATGCACACATCGACCTAGCCAAGCAAACTATTGATCATGGCAGAGAAGAAAACCATCCCACACCTAAAGGAGCCCTGGTGGAGTGGAGCAAATAGACAATCAAAACCAACATGGCTATCACAGGCTGTGTCCATTTCTGATCAATGAAGGATGAATAAACAAAGTGTGCTTCTTTGCTAGACTGGGTTGCATGTATGTATCTGACTTTTTAAAAAATATCAATAATAATATTTTGTGGTGTGGCACCATAGGATAAGCACTTGACCTCAAGGTTGGTCTGAACTGCAAGGTTGGCAGTTCAAACTCACCAGCCACTCCCTGGAAACTGTATACAGGCTCGCTATGAGTTGGAATCGACTCGAAGGCACTTACCAGCAACAATGCTTGACAGTTTGAAAGGACTTTCACCTGTGTAATCTTATTTTAACTGTTAGGACCACCATTAAGAATTGGTTTATCATTCCCATTTTACAGATGAGGAACTGAGTTATGTAACTACGAATAAAGCTGGGATACTTGGGAGGAGTTGCCCATTGGCCTAAACACACCTCATGGTGATTTCTCCTCTTCTACACCAAATCATGCCAGGGCTTGGGGTGAACTATGGGACCCACTTAGTTCTCTCAGAATCTCAAAGGCTGGCAGTCTTTGGTTCGTCTTTGCTCAGCAACACACTTGCATCTGTACTTCTCTCTCTCTTGTCTGACCACAGAATCTTACAGATTTTTGTCTACTGCCTTATCTCAGCTTTTTAAGCTCCAAAACTAAGAAGCAATCTCTGTTTTCTGTGTTCCTCCTGCTTGGTAAAGTAGAGGGTCAGCAAAAAAGAGGAAGATCCCCCAATGAGACGGTATGACCAAGTGACAGAGGTAATGTATTCAACAATTATGAGGCTGGCACAAGACTGGACAGTATTTTGTTCTGTTGTGCGTCCTTCAAGTCATCTCTTCTCAGACCCTGAAAGGGGACTGTCTAAACTCTGGGTTTGGGGCAGCCTTGGTCACTATGCCAAGAAGCCTCCTTTCTTTTCAAGTGTTTTTTTATTGACTGGAAAGGAGGTGACAACCTCCACCCAACAGACAAATTAAATCTCTGTGAGGATTTTAGAGGCTGTCCAAATGACCAGTCCTCCATGAGGTCCTGAGAGGTCAAGTAGAGAGAGGTCCAAAATTACTTGGCGAAACTGAACAGATGCATCATGAATGTAGAAAATAGAGTTGTCCGTTAGGGCAACCCCAGGTGACAAAGCTGACCAGAAAGAAACATCAAGCTTTCTGTTGTGGGCACAAACTATTCCCAATTGTAGACCAACGTCAGGCATCTAAAACATCCTCAAGTCTCCCTCATCTTAGCAGCAATACTGTGATGAAAATGGGAAGGATACATTGAAGGTATTACTTGATGAAAGTCCTTAACAGTATCCACCCTCGACTCTCCATTACCTTCCCACTACGTTCTCTCTCTTCCTCTTCAGACTCAAACTTCTTGATGAATTGTCCACACTCACGCATTCATTTTTCTCTTTTTCCATTCACTCTTCAGCCCATTCCAAAATAACTTTCACTGATGTCATCAATGACCCAATCTATAAATCATAAATAAAGGCAATGGACATTTTTCTGCCTCCTTTGACACGAGACCAGAAATGCTGGATAGTGCCTGATGAAAGATGGCATAAAATAATCCAGATTTTTAAAAGGGCAAATACTTTTCAGACTTTCAAGTCAAGCCCTCTGGCAGTAGTGATGATTTGCTACTTGCTCCTTCTTGAAACTCTCCTTGGCTCTGTGACATCTTTTTTGCTTACATCTTTCTCTGGCCCTTTCCCACTGTCTGCCCCTTAAGGTTATGGAGGTCAGAACTCTATCTTAATTCCGCTTCTTACCTTGTGTGCTCTTTCTGGGCTACTTCATTCATTCCCATGTCCTTCGTCTCCAATGCTTCCAATATCTGTATTGTTTGACCTCCAGAACTCCTACTCAATCTCAATGTGACATAAGTATTTCAAACTCAAAATGAATCAAACTGATCTCATCATCTTTCCTTCAGATCTGATTTTCTCTTATATTCCATTTCATGGAGAAAAACCACCAGCCATTCAGTGGTCTAAGCAAAAACTCGGC